TTGCATACTCAGTTTCGATTTCAAACTCATGTACATTATCATCATCATCAGTTACACATCATTGTAATGGGACGCTGGACCCGTTTTCCAGCAGGTGCAGCTCCCCACCAATAGATGGAGCCTTCCCGAGAGTGCTAAGGGGGTCTGCTCTTACCAGCAGCACCCTTAGCAATCGACTGGGCTGTTTCAGTCAAAAAAAATAAAAAAAATAAAAAATGAACCAATTGAGGTACCGGGGCCATTTACCCAGTTTCGGCCGCGCCCTCTCAGTGCGGTTCACCATAGTGTTGTGAACCAAGCTGACAAATAACGGCTAGCCTCGAACTCATAAAACATGTGTGACGTCGTAGACGTCTTGGCCCAGCAGCCGAAGCCAAGCCGAGCCACACGTCACGGCAACCTGTCGTGGTGGGGGCCGGTCCGAATGCTGATACATGTGGGCTCCATGTGCGCTGCAGACCTAACCAAGAGAAGCCATCGCACATGTGCGTGTCGCACAAACTCACATCAACACACATATTAATCGTCCACATCCTCTGCCTCGTCTCAGATTAAGTCTGACGCACCGGTGCTCCTCAGGTAATCACGGCCGCATTCTCTGGGACATGCATAAAGCGTGACAAACACCCTTGTGAGGGTGTTTGTCACGACACCGGGGGTGGGTCATGCCTGGCCGGGCACCCGCGCGTGTATCCGGGCATAAGTTGGGTGCCCGGGCGCCTGGAAAAACAGCCATTGCAAGCACGAAAGACAAAACAATTGGCAATGTATCTTTCCATCCATGTTCTAGGGCCTCGCTGCACTACTCTAGACTCTCGAATTTTCGAGAGTGGGACATCACTGCACTTGCTCTCGATCGGAAAACTCTCGAAACCCGATCGAGAGCTGTCAGTGGGGACTCTATATCGCCACTCTCGAAACGTCGAGAGTAGCCCGCCTGCAAAACAGGAATTTACAAGTGTCCTCGGGAGTTTCCCGCCGACGGGCTCGTTTTTCGAGAGTGGACCTCCTGTCCCGGTGGCCAGACCTCGTCCTCTAGCGCAGTGGTGCAGCTCTTCTGTCGAGTGGGACGACGCGCAGGGTTTGTCGAGTTCATCTAGTGTGACAATTTATAGAGTAAGGGCCTTGTTAGACCCTCCTTGAAAAATCCTCAGGAATTAGGACGAAGTCCTTGGAAAATTTCAAGGAATTCGGCGGCGTCGTTACACCGCGTCCTAAACGAAAGGGTCCCAAGGAAAAACCTTGGAGGTATCCCGCGGCCAATTTCATACGCAAATGCGAGGCCGCGGGAGAGGATGTCCGTCATCGTCGAGGGATGTCCGTCCGTCGTCGGGCGTGGTCCACTGGCGGCGCAAGGAGGCCCGCGATGCTGCGCTGCGAAAAGAGGCGCGAAGGTTCCTTTTCGAAATTCGAATTTCAAACCGTCCGCCGAGGTAAAGGTGCGTCGTGGCGTCACCACCCCTGGAGCTATTAGTGTGCGAAACGTGTGCGCGGACGATTTGCGGCGCCCATCGCTGTTGGCAACTCGTTCATCCGATCGTCAGCCGGCGCGACACAAAAGGTGACGACGTTGGAGCGCGTGAAGTGGTGTGTGTCCCGCCTTCGTCTTCCTGCAGACGACGACGATCTGGTGGCTCGCCATATCTTCACGCGCCCGTCATTCGTGTACGAGGGTCCACTCCAACGTCCGCTGGGACAGTGTGTGATGAGGGTCCAGTCCTCCGTCTATTGTGGTTGTTGAACAAGGCGTCGTCGGGGCATCGTGATGGAACACGTGTCGCAGGAGGTTCGTGGCAAGACCTTGAGCAGGGTGGAGAGAAATGCGGTGGTTGCAGCGGTGTCGGCGGTGGCCATGCGATGTCGCATCGAGAGAACGACGACACGGTTGAGGACAAGAGTGTCTATCCGCAGACAGCGTGAGCTCCTCCACCACGTGATGGCGGCGCCAGACTGCGTGTCCATGTCCGAATCCATTACCCAATTTTGCGCCGCCATGTCATCCAGGGCGATACCACGTGCGACTCCAAGGTGGTGGATGCGGAGAAGGACGGGTGGCACGTGGGAGGATCTGCGGAAGATGGAGGACGCCTCAGACGAGTACTACAAGGAAAAGTTGAGGATGACCCCCAGGGTGTTCATGGAGATCGTGGAGGCGTTGTCTCCTCTTCTGCAGCGGCGGGTGACATTCTACAGGGTTCCTTTGCAGCCGGATCACATCATCGCATATGCGTTGTACCGATGGGCGAGCGGTGAGACATACGAGAGCAACACGTCGTCATTCGGAATAGGGCGCACATCCGGGTTGATCGCAGTGGAGGACGTTACGAGGGCGCTCCTGAGGGTGTACAGTGACAAGATCGTATGGCCTACTGGGATGCGTCGTACGCTCGTTCTGCGTGCCTTTGAGGCGAAGGGCTTTCCCAACTGCTATGGCTGCATAGACTGCACGCACGTTTACGTCGACAAACCGGCGAACGCTCCTTCGGAGAACTTCTTCGACCGGAAGCATCGTTTCTCCGTTGTAGCGCAGGTGGTGGTGGACCTGGACTTGCGCATCATGGACGTTTTCGTCAGTTACCCAGGGAGCTGCCATGACATTCGGGTGCTTCAGCTCTCCAGTCTGTGGGCGCGTGCGGAGGAGGGGGATCTTTTCCGTGGAGCTCCTGTTGTGCTGCCGTTCGGAGTGATGACACACGGTTACATTATGGGCGAAAACGGGTATCCGCCGCTGGAGTGGATTGTCGTGCCGTACGGGGGGACCGATCAAATCCCCGACGAGGAGAGGTTCGACAATAAGCAAAAGGTCGCCAGGGGAGCAGTGGAGAGAGCTTTCAAGAGATTGAAAGGGATGTGGAGGCTGTTCCTCCGCACACAGAAGACGAATATGGACACTCTCCCACAATAGTTCCAGGCCGTGTGCATTCTGCACAACATCCTCCTTGACGCTGGCATGGAGTTCGACGACAACTTG